TAAAATATTTCAAGTTTGTATAACTAGAAAATCTTACTTAAAAAAGAAAGAAAGAAAGAAAGAAAGAAAGAAAGAAAGAAAGAAAGAAAGAAAGAAAGAAAGAAAGAAAGAAAGAAAGAAATCTACTGAGGAAACTGGTGGAGCAAACCCTGGGTACTGTCCAGGCAGATCATGAAAATGTGGCCCTGGATACTTTGTGATACTGTTCCCTTACTCTCCTTCCCAGCCATCATGAGCTAAGCATGTTTGCTCTGCCACATGTTTCCATGTTGTTTTTGCCTTGGGGCCAGCTAACCGTGGCCTTTATGCTCAGAAACTGTGAGCCAGATTAAATCTCTTCTCCTTTCAATTGTGTTAGGCATTGTCTCAGCAGAAAGCTCACTGTCATACTAATTCACCTCATCTTCTACAGTGTAGATTTATAACTGGAGAAAATATGGGATATAGGATCATTTATATTAGTTTTTTTTTTTTTTGCTTAAAGTGAACCATATGTAAAAGTTTTCAATATTAGGGGAAACATAAATGCATTTTGAAAGAAACAGAAGGTAGACTTTTTTTAGTTGTCCTAAATATTCTCATTTATCATATAGGATGGTCTGCTTGACCATTTCTGTGAGATTGATTGATTACAAAGTAAGTCTTCTAATACAGAATGTTTGTCTCTTCTTATTTTCTAATGTTTGATACATTTGAACTAGTACAGTCTTTGAATTAGAACCAATGCAGGCTTCTCCCAGAGTATCAAAATGCATGTTAGAAGTTTGCTTGGGCACATGACAGCTTGCACAAGTATCTGCCTACAAAATAAGACACTAAGGTAGCCATAGTTCACGAAACAATACTAAAACTGGATTTTATACTAGATCTAAGAACATAAGGCAAAAATGTTATATACTGTGACTTTCCTTCTTCAAAGATTTAAATCTTAAACTAAACAAGTAATTACTCTGTGCTCATTGTAAAAAGATAACATTTGGAGGTGAGATATTAACCAATACCCTCTGAATAGCTAGAAAACCAAGATAATATAAATGAAATACGCCACAAAGATAGTATCACCCAAAGTTATGGTATATGAAAATATTGCTAATAGGACAGCATTTTTCCTCAATTAGCCTTGAAGTTAAAAAACATCTTCCAAGAATAGTCAAGGATATCAGGGATTTTATTCTCAGAGAACTTTTTCTTTTTAAAATTTATTTAGTAAAGGGTCTACAGGGTCTCACTACACAGATCAGACTCCTAGTAATTCTCCTGTTTTCAGCATTCCAAGTGCTGGAACTATAGACACACACCACCATGCCCCATGTCAATCTCAGTCTCAGCACGCCCCAGGGGTGAGGCTGGCACAGCACACCGTGGATTGAACCCCAGTGTCTGCATCTGCCTAAGCAGACACTTTAATCCACTAAGCTATCTGGCCAGCCCGAGAAATGTTATTGGAATGCTGTGAGTACAAATAAAACTGTAATACAATAATACTTCATGAATTATTCTGTTCTTGAACAATTCAGTTTGTGAACAAGCATTTAGCGAAATTTTGCTTCCATTCACAAGCTGCACATCAGGTGAGAAACACAAACACAACCATCTCCCCCAGGATTGTGAAGTGAATTAAATTCTTAAACCAAGGTACCGCTGTAATGATGTTTCAGCCCCAAGTACTTAGTGCTTACTGATTTAGTTCTCTGTAACGTTAAAGATGGAGATGCCATAAATGCGGACATATTGTGACTAAAGTGGAGTGTATAACATTCTCTGTATTTAAATTAGTATTTAGTTTATCAAGCTGTTCAGAGGCTAAAACAGAAGGATCAAAAATTCAAGCCAATCTGGGGAACACACACACACACACACACACTTCTCAAACTCCCCCCCCATTTTTGGCTTATCACTTAAGTAACTCAACTAGCTTCTGATCATTTGGATAAATTGACCAAATAAATTTTTACCCCTAAGGAAAGATCCATATTCTTGATTCACCAGACTATACTACCTGCTTGACAGATAACCAGCCAATCTAAGCAACAGCTTTGAATTGTTATTGGTAAAAATCGGAATCAAGTATGAAATCTTAAAAGCAAAGTGTGATTAAAGGCTATAATATTTTGGTTTTGTATATTTGAAGTTGAAAGTTTTGGAACATTTGAAGGAGCAATGATAAGCTTAACTGACAGTGAAATTATTTCTCTACTTTAGGGCTATCTTTTCTCACCACTGAGACACCATGCCCAACACTTGCAAGTTAAAGGAGGAAAGGTTTCATTCCATAACTACAGGGCAGGACACCATGGCAGAGGGGCCTGGCAGAGGAGAACCAGTCCATGGCACGGCAGGTGAGGCAACCAGGAGCAATGAGCCTCCATTCAGACTGCAAGCCACACAACCTTAATACATATTCACACACTCTAGATTCAGCCACATCCAAAGGGCCCCACCTTAAGGCACATCTAGATACAAACCATAACAGGATAACATGATTCTTTTTTAGAGAAATTATAAACCCCTGGTAGCAAGTAAACTAGCTTACTTCATGCCCTATTTAACAACAACAAAGAATGAGTATTCTATATTATTCTAAACTCACTGTAGTGGTTAAAGTTTTTTAAAACATTTAAATGGTGCTCTTAATCTAATCTTACATTAGGAATCTAAGGCCCTATGTTAAGCACCTAGTTCAAGATAGTCATTGGCACAGTCGAATTTTATTTTATTTATTTGCAGTGAGAAATAAATGTATTTTTGACATTGTTACAGTGATTTATTATACTAGAAACATATTTGGCATAGTGTTAACAGTGCTTTAGTTTTTTTTCCATAATTTTATTGAGAAACAAATAGCAATGAGACAGTTTCAAGTCAAATTGGTAGGACAGTTTCAATAATTAACACGTTGTATACTCTTTTCCTAGTGGTTATTTGCTGTACAAGATGCAGACATGATATCCTATTTACAAACACTATTAGAACAAATCCCTCTGTTCATTAAGAGAATGTAACTAAATTGAATTTTGTTTTCTTTTTTTCTCATCTCTTTGTGTAATCAAATTGATTTGGAAAATCTCAGGACTGGTTTGGGCCAGGGAGATAGCTCACTGGAATAAGTATCTGTCTGGCAAGTGCAAAGTCCTGAGTTCAATCCCTGGAAAAAAAAAAAAAAAAGTCTCCCAGGGTCATATCAACAGAGGCAGCTTTCTTGAAACAATATCAATTGTATGATCAGATAACTAAGTCAAGAACTAATCATTTCAGGGTATTGGAGACTGTTATTTTTGTGGTCAAGAGAAGAAAGATATGAATTAAACTGGAATAGCAGTAATAATTCCCAGGCTTTGGCAACTAGATCTGACTCAAATTACCTGTGGGACTAGTTTTTTCTTGTGTAAAGTGAAAGAGCTGTAACTTATGTAAAGTTCCTTATACTGATAAAATTCTGTCATTTCCTATAAATTTTCTGCTGTCAAAAGCAACACTTAAAATATTTATCCTTAAAATGCGCAGTAAGGATTTAAATTGCACCATAGGGGAAAAACAGATTTTGAATTGAATTTACTTTGTTCATTACCAAAATGACAAGGGATGAGGATAAGGAGTTTCTAAGGACAATGAAGCATTTTTGACCACTTTTCCTATATTGACATGAGATAGAAAATTAAAGGCAACTCAATCAGAGTAAAAGGAGATCTCAGGAATGATAATATAAGTCAATATTTTATACCACACAGTGCATCAAGACTGAGACTCACTAATTAAATATCTAATTTAATATTGTTTACCAAGCCTCTACTAAACACCCAAGCATGGGGTTGGTTGGTTAAAATAAAAAGATAAACAAGACATAGGCTTGTGCCTCAAAGAGCTTACCATCTGGTTAGGGACAGAGCTGAGTAAATAGAAAATTGCAATTAAATGCTATGATAGAAGAAAGAGTTTAGAGCAGTGACTCCAAACTTGGCTCATCCTAGAATTTCCTGGGAGGCTTTTAAAAACTATAGATCCTTATCCCTCAGAGATCACAATTTAAATGATCTGGGGAAGGACCCAGGGAAATGCTATTTTTTTAAAGCTCATAAGGGGATTTAATACACAAACTTGAAAATAACTGGGATCAAAGGGCACTAAACTGAGTTCTTAAGAAAAATAGGCAATGGTCAAACAGGAAAGGAGACAAATCTTCCAACTTTGTGCATGGAGATAATAAAAGTCATGATACATCAGGGACACAGTATGTACAGTTAGTTCAGTATAGGGTATACGAAGGGAGGGGGACAATGAAAGATTAGTCCAGGGAGGAAGGTGGGGAGGCAGATCATCTATGGTCTGCAAAGGAATTTAGACTTGATAAAAGTTGGTGAGAAAAACAGTAGGGGAGTGACATGTTCTTTTTAGAACATCTTCAGGAGCACTGCAGAAAATGGATTAAGGGGACTGATAGCAAGGAGACCACTTAAAAGGCTATGATAAAAGAAGAAGAGGGCCTGAGCTTCATCAGTGGCTCTGGGAAAGGGGGAGATATTCAAGAACAAATTGCAAGGAGGGAGAATCAACAGGGCAATTGGATGTAGTTGGTGAGAGTAGGAGTAGCTAGAGAATATAATTTTCTTTATTTTGTAGATACTAATTTGCCAACAGTGAATCTGCCCCAGATAAAATACTTCATAGGTAAGGAAGAACCGTTTATAAATTTAATTACATATAGTGTGTTTTGAATCCAGTCATCTCAAATCCAAAAGCGAACAAAGTAATCAGGGCTATTTACAATCCCTCAATGACTAAATTCTTGACACACTTAAGGCCAGCCATCTAACATTTGCACCCAGATTAATGGGGGAGAGAGGAAAACAGCACTAAAACAATGGTTTGAGAGATTTTAAGTAACACAAATGGTTGTCTAGTCTCTAAATCTGTCCAAAGCACATGGAGTGAAATCCTTCTAATCATTCTGAGTTTCATCTGAGAGTGACCTCGTAAAAACGTGCCTCCCTCCTAGATCACCACACTTTCTTTAGCTTCTTATTCTGTGCAGGCATTTGATTCCAGAATTTTCTAAAAAAGAAAAAGGAAAAAAGACAGCTCAAACAATGAGTGTAGATCTTCTAAAAATTATTAAATTAGGATGCATGTTTACAACTCCAGGACTGGGGATATAGCTCAGCAGTATAAATACCTGCCTGGCAAGCGCAAGGTCCTAAGTTTGATCCCAAGTACCAAAAGAAAAAAAACTTCGTTGAAGACCTTAGGGTGAGCTTTGTACCCAAAAATAGCTGGAAAGTAATCAGTCTTGAAAACTAGAGATCAGGGCTGGCGAGATAGTTCAATGGACTAAGTGCCTGCTTTGGCAAGCTCATGGACCAGGGTTTGATCCTGGTCCCACACTGTGCCAGCCCCGCCCCTGCGGCATGCTGAGCTGGTGACCAATTCCAGGTGTGGTTGTGTGCACCTACAATCCCAGGACTGGGGAAGCTGAAAACTGAGTCCAATCTGCGTAGTGAAGAGACCCTGTACCAAATACATAAAATGAAGAAAGAAAAGAAAGGAAGGAGAGGGAGAGAGGGAGGGAGGGAGGGAGAGAGGGAATGAAGGAAGGAAGGAAGGAAGGAAGGAAGGAAAGAGAAAGAAAGAAAGAAAGAAAAGAAAGAAAGAAAGAAAGAAAGAAAGAAAGAAAGAAAGAAAGAAAGAAAAGAAAAGAAAAGAAAAGAAAACTAGCCTTGCTTCACCTGTCAGCAGATTACTGCTGGCATTTTTGATGTCTAGTTTTCAAGGCTAATTATTTTCTGGATTAGGTCTGGTTTGGGGGGAAAAGGTCCAGTAAAGCTCTTATCTAGCATGGCCCTTGCTTGGGCTGGTTAGCAATCCCCAACAGTACCCCCCCCCGAAAAAGACACATTACAAGAATCTTTATCAACTATTCAATCCTTTAAGATAGGGAATTTTTTTAAAAAGTCATTCTTACCATATTGGGTTTATTTCTGTCAAAACATGTTTTGCTCATAGTTGTGGTGTCTGTAGTACCTGATGGAAAACAGGAAAATAAGAGCTTCTTTTGAGAAAAGAATGTACATATTGAGTTGTGAAACTACTAACATCCACTGCTTGGCTATAAAGAAAGACCAACTCAAGGCTTTTATAGGTAAATGAATACAACTAAAGACCATACTCATAAGTGAAACAAACCAGACTCTCACGCATCCTCTCCCTAGGGTATGAAACTGAAAGAGTACAATCCAAAAGTTATAATAGACATTGTGAAAGGGAAAGAAACTACTCTAAGAGGAAAGAATAACTGGGAAAGAAGAGAACGAAGAAAAGGGAGGAATATATACAGTAGCTAAGATAATTTTACTACTAATTTCTATTCACTGAAAGGAGCAGTTTGTACTTACATTGTTTTGAACAATTTTGCATGTCTATATCTGGTAGTCTGACCAACTACTCGACATAACTATGCAATATAATAACCCTTGTTAATTTCCTATCTTGTTTTGAAATTCTATATAATTTCCATTTTTTAATTTAAAATAAAACTACTAGCATCCATCAAAATACCTAATTGTCTTATTGTAGGAAAGACTAATATAAATTTTCTAATTGTTTTAGAAAATGAAGCATGATTTTAAAGTGGTCCTTTTATTTTCTGTTGAAAACTTATGCCCTTGTGTGGGGGAAGCATTTGAGCACTACATGCAAAAAAGAACAACTTGAGTCTACAAAGTGTACTTTTTAAAAATTCTTTTTAATCTTTTATTTATTTACTTATTTGGTCAGGGTCTCACTATGCAGCTTAGACTCATAGTGATCCTCTTGTCTCAACCTCCCCAGCGCTGGATTATAGGTGTGCACCACCACACCGGCCCGGCATGGCACATCCCAGGGTTCCAGGGCCACATTGGATCCAGGTCCTTGTACTTGTCAGGCATACACTTAGACCACTGAGCTATCTCCCCAGCCCCTACAAAGTGTACTAGAATTCTAATATACCACTTAAATGAGGATGTGAAATGATAAATGCCATATCTACACTTAAATAACCCAGACATCTGTTTTATGAGAAAGATCAATTCTGATTAGTAGAAAGCAAAAGATAAAGGTGAGGATGGGGGAAGAGATAGGAAGACAGGGAGAAAGATTTGGCACAGGCTAAGAGGGAGAAGAGAGATGATAACGGAGTAAGAGAGAATTGTAAGGTGCTAAGTAGACTGTTCACCTAGGCTGCAGTTACCAGGCTAAAGTATAAGACTGTTAAATTCAAATTTCAATAAACACCAATAGTTGTCAGTATCAGTATGTCCCATGTAATATTTAGAACACACTGATACCAAAACTACTGTTTCTCTGAAATTGAAATTTAACCAAATAGTATCTTTTTATTAAATATGATTCCCCCATCCTAGACATCCTCTGTCCTGAGTGTGCAGTGCAGATAAGAAGAATTTATTGACGGCACTAAAATACTAAAATAATTCTGATATTAATGAGGAGGCAGTTTAGACATTAAAGCTTCAAAATTTATATTTAGGAGGAAAAAAGGCTTCTAGTTTCTCCCTGGACTTGTGTGAGGCTCTATGAGAAGCAAATAACGACCTAACTTAGAAATTAGGCTAGGGCCATCGAGGTAGCCCAGTGCTCTAAAGCACCTGCTTAGGCAAGCTTAGGTTCAGGGGACCAAGGTTCCATCACAGGAACCACATGCTGCGCCAGCCCCACCCTCAGGGTGGGCTGAGCTAATGAAAGAAAGAAAGAAAGAAAGAAAGAAAGAAAGAAAGAAAGAAAGAAAGAAAGAAAGAAAGAAAGAAAGAAAGAAAGGAAGAAAGAAAGAAAGAAAGAAAGTCTTGTAAAGTACTAATCCTACAACTTTAAAATTCAGTGGGTTCAAGTTGCCTAAGAACATAAAATCCTGTACTTGAGAGTAAAACTACTTATTGAGGACCCAGAGTGAAGGTAGCTGTGATTTTCTGCCCCTGACTTTCAACGTTTTAGCTTAATGCTACTATTTTTCTTTCAGAAGCATCTGCTAAAGTGTATTGCGGCTATCAGGAAGAGTAATAGTAAAGAGAATTTAATGTCAAAGGTGGGAAGAATGGCTTCCTTTCAGAGCAGAGGATTACTGATTAAATAACATGTCAAGAGTATTCACTTCCCCTCTAGGGGCTTTCATCTAAATTCCTGAGTGAAACATAATATCCACACCCAACCCTCAGGTTCTTCTCCAAAGAACTTTTTGTTTTTTCAAGGAGCTAAAGAAAATGCCCAGACTTGGGGACATGAAAGAAGGTTGTCAAAATCAAGTGTCTTACTTATTACAAGTTATATTATTACTGAAGTTAAATTTCATCTTTAGACACTAGCAGATATACAGAGAAATTCAGCTGAATTTAGACATTGCTTGGTGCATGTGCTCTCTAAGATAGGTGACTGTGCCTGTTGTCCCTGAGTCAAACTATAATTTTATATCAGTAGGAAAGGGCTCCTTAAATGTGACTTGTTTCTGGAAAGATCCAAAAAAAGGATTTCTCCCCACCCCCAGTATAAACAGAAAAGTATTTCTTTTAGAAGACTAGGTGATGCAGATACGCTAGGCAGAGAAGACTCTCAGTGGTAAGGCTATATTCAGGCCTAAGCAGAATTCTTAAGCAGAGCTTGCTTGAATTATAACAGTCAGTAATATTTGCCAAACAAGTAAATCACACCACTGCAACTCAGCCAACCAGCACGTGGCATGGGGAGGAGGGATTCTTGGCTGAGACCATCAGGGTAGAACCTCCTTCTAACTGGGAAATGCCTTGGACTGAAAGGCCTATATCCCGATTTGCTGGTAGCTGTGTCCAAAATTGCATATCACCTGTTCTCTAAAACAGGTTTATAAATTCACTTCTTTTGAAATTGAAGGAAAAAAAAATTTAGAGCACTATTAAGTACTTAAACTCAATCCCTGTGCAATTTCCCATTTTTACTTAAATCACCTAATCGCCCAGTTTATCCTATGGTGGAGAGAAACAGAATACTGGAGGAAATGGCCATGATTGTTTTTGGAGTGGAGATTCCTGAAGCTCAGGGAGTAGAATAATAAAAGTATTATATGGATTAGATGGTATATAATTTAATCAAGGCTGTCAGTAGTATATCTTGGTGCCATAGAGCATGACATAAATCATACATAGGGGGATTTTTTTTTTCTTTTTAAATTGAGTATATAAATGTGACACATTTTGACCTAAGGGTAATAGAAATCAGCCTGTTTCACAGCCCCTTCAGGGTTCTTGAATTACTTTTTAAGGTAGACTTGAAGCCTAGATGTGGCTGGTGCCACCTGCTGGAGAAATGCCGAACTACATGTATCTCAATCCATTTTGTAACCACGTTTTCTTTGCTGTGGAAAAAATTATAACCTTTGGGGAGGGAAAATTGTTCTTCATCAGCAGGGGATAATACCTTCAATAGCTGATAAGTTTGATATAAATCACAGCTTTTAGGGCTTGAAAAGGCATGAGGAATCCTGTACTTCAACACTGCCATTATATGGCATAGTCTAGAACAACTAAGCTTTGCATATGGACTAAGCCTAGTTTCTCTGACTGTTTCTTGTTCTGTAATTTGTGTTGCATAGAATCACAGTAAAAGTTATAAAAACTGGAAAGTTTTTAACATGCTCAATAAAATGCTGTATTTTTGTTTGTTTGTTTTTAATGTATTTTAAAGGGATGGGGAAATGGCTCAGTGGAGTAGTGGAGTAAGCACTTCCCTGGCAAGCACAAGGGCCTGAGTTCAATCCCCAGTTCCACCAATAAAACAAACAAACAAACAAAAAACCCTACTATTTTTAATGTATTTTGTATAGGGCATCACTACACAGCTCAGACTCAAGTAATCCTTCTGTTTTCAGCCTCCCTAGCACTGAGATTACAGGCCTGGGGCACCATGCCTGGTCTCTGTAGTGGGCTCTGGGTGCCCGGGGGCGGGACCAGAGCCACATATGGTATGCGGGATTGGACATGGTCCCTGTGCTTGCCTAAACAGGCGCTTAGTCCGCTGAGCTATCTCACCGGCCCTCTGGTTGTTTTAGTCATAGAAAAACCTGAAATTAAATGATTTGATCAGGTCACATAATTGGTAGCTTCCAGAGCAGGGCCTCCAACTCATATATCTGACTCTAAATCCAGTGCTTTTTTTTCAATAAATTATAACTTCTCAAAATATGGTGAGGTGATTTTAGGTACAACTTGGATAAATTGAGATGGTATTGAAACTGTAAATTACAGAGGAAAAATGATTCCCTTTTTGATACTTTTAAAATTTGATGGCATCAAGGAGAAAGTACCAATTTTGATGCTCGTTTTCTTTAAAATTCTGTCTGGCATCTCATCTTTGAAAATCAAACAGGCCTCAGGCTTGCCTTTCTTGTTAGAACATTAAAATTTTGGTTTTTATATGCTTATTAAGTTTATTCTCTCAGTATGGGAAACTATACTGGTTTTTTTCATTTAAAATAATAATGTACATTTTATTTTTGAAGAATGCATTTACGGAAAAAGAAGTTACTCTAAAGAGCAAAAATTGAAAAAACAATAGTCCAAGCAGCATATAAAGTCAAGAAACAAGGGGCTGGAGAGATGGCTCAGTAGAGTAAGTGCTTCCCTGGCAAGTGCAAGGGTCTTAGTTCAATCCCTGGTTCCACAAAAAGAAAAAAAAAAGAAACACTACACACCACCAAATCACAGTGTATCCGTCATACCATTGTTGATAATAATCTCTTAGTATGATTTCTTTTAAAATTCTTCCATCATGATCGCTAATATTCATTTTAATAATCAAACTCTAGAGATTATAAAATAAGCAAATATTTAGCACTCTATTAGTTTACAGATACACTTGGGCTCAAACAAACCCTGAAGTTTTGAATATATGTGTAGAAAATGCAATCGTTGCATGACCAATGCTGCGTGAATACATAAGAAATCATGGGCTGGTGAGTCAGCTATGTTAGTTTGTGGTAGCTGAATGATATTGTATTTTTTCTTCCTTTCTCTTTGTATTTATTTTTGTTTTATTTATTTACTTTTCTCATACCAGAGATTGAACTAAAGACCTTTGGGCTGATCTATAGTCCCATCTACAGTCTTTTTTATTTTTTATTTTGAGACAGCATCTTGCTGGGTCTTGTGATCCTCCTACCTCAGCTTCTTCCTGGAGTGCTGGGATTATAGGTGTATACCAGGTAAAGCCCTATCTTTTAGTTCTTTAGGATTATAAAACAAGACAAGAAGAAAAAGGTGTTAATCTGTGGGTGGGTCATCCTAGTTAAATTGAGCCCATATTCTGCCAGCAAGGGAAGAAATTTGTGGATGCATTCAAGTTTAATGGAATCCTTCACTCTATACTAATCTGGGCTTAAATCTGGAATTTAAAAACTTCTGGATCTTTATATTGATCCCTTGGATTATTTTAGCTTTTTTTTTTAATGAGATAAACTACCTCTTCATAACCCTCTGTCCCTCCGTCTTTTTAAAAAAGATTTATTTATTTGTTTATTTATTTATTTCGTATAGGGTCTCACTATGTAGCTCAGACTCATAGTGATCCTCCTCTCTCAACCTCCCCAGTGCTGGGATTATAGCACCACCATGCCTGGTTTCATAGGCCATCAGGGTATGCCTGGGCTTTCGGGGCAAGCACAACATGTGGTAGGGGCCAGCACAGCATGCATTACCAGGGATCGAACCCGGGTCCTTGTCCTTGCTAAGCACACCCTTAGATCCCCGAGCTAGCTCCCCAATGCTCCTCTTTTTAATTTGTATCTTAACGACTTTCTATTGCTTCTGGTTTCATTCCATGGTTTTTCTTTCTTTGTGCTGTCCAATTCGATGTCTATCCCCTAATCTTCTGCTCTGAAGTAGTAGTCTACTACAATAAGGTACATGAAATGAAACAACTCCAGTTCATAGAAAAGTGAAAGATGAGATGAAACTAATATTTCATGTGAACTCTGTTATCATTTATATATGCTAAGTACCAGATATATTACTTTATCTTTACAAAGGTAAGCCTAATTTCCTTCAAGGAGAATTCCTTAGTATAAGAGCTTTTGCTACTTCTACTAATCATGATAATGAAAACTTTTATGATTACACCACTAACATTTAACTTTCTATGTGCTAGGCATTGTATTACAATCAATGGATTCTCCACTGTTAACAAAACAAAACCTCAAACTGTGTACAGATGTTATTCTACTTACCTTGGGACCTTGGAAGATTTAACAATACTTGCTTTGGCTTAAAATTCTGCTGTAAATACAGTGATAATTTCAGGTCACTAGCCTTCTGGAAGTTCTTCAGGGCTTCAATTCTCAATTCAATCACTTTTCCATGAAAGTCACTCTGAAAGGGAACATTTTTCAAAACTAGTCAGGTAATATTAGCTTCTTAAATTCACTGTTACCTGAAAGATTGTTATGCAGAAGTTTAAAAGCAAGCCACTTATGGTCAATCTTTTAAAATTGGGCAAGTATCTCCCCCCTCACACACACCTCACCCTGTTTCTGATAGAACAAAATCAAGGACAGAAGAAGAAATACTATTTATTCCAGTTAAGATAAAGCTAGAGATAGATCACTTAGGCCATCTCCTGATGGTACATTTCTTTTAGCAGAACAGCTTGTAACCCAAGATGAAGAGATTGGGATTAAACTATAATACATTGTATTACATGAGCAAAATTGCATCCCATGTCCAGGCTTGGAAGACTTTAATACCTGAAGGCTGTTGGCTTGTTCCTGATACTTGACCCATTCCATTTTCCTCTGTTTCTTTTCCTGATGGAAGAAAGAGCCTCTGGGTGATAAAGTAAATTGAGATAAAAAAAAAATCAGTTTTCTCAGTTTTCTGCAATAACCTTGTAGTGAAATTATGCTGTCATAGATTCACTATTAGGTTAGCTTCAATTGCAAAATCATCTTAATTTGCTTCCTCTGTGAAATCCACTCCCTCAAAGCTAGAAGGTAAATGAACAGGCCATTTTCTGTGAATAAGATAGTTATTGGAAAATGAGATGCAAATAAAATACCCCCAAGTCAGTTTTGCAAGTGAAGTTAACAAGTGTTCTGATATCGCATAGCTACCGTGGAGCAGTCATCTCTGAGGTAGCTTTTCTAGCTCTGTCCTAGCTAAAATGATTTCCCAGAGACTTGTGATGACACAGTACCTCAGACACTATAGCCCAGGGGAATCAAATTGCTTATAAAAATCTGTTTGGTTCAGGAATATGTCATCGTTAAGTTCCACAAAACTACCTTCCTTATCTCTTTTACTTTCTATGTAAATGATATCTCTAATTCATTTTTAGCTTTTCAGATGACAAGGGGGATTTAGGAACCTGGGCTGAAAGTAGCACTAAAGGAATAGCACCATGAAAAATTGTGTTTTCTTGGGAAACCATAAATTGAACAAATCCTAAAAGCCTGGATCCTGCCTGTCTGCCTACCTAAATTAGCCTTGATCAACAGGCTGTTTCCTGTACTTGGCATTCTAAGTACATGCAGTACACTTACCGTTCCATCCTGTAAGTCTGCTGTGGTTTTCATCTGTGGTGCTTCTTGTTGACCATGAAGTTCTTCTGTCTCGAAGGTCTGTGGAGAGACATTATGGCAAATCTTTAAATTAGAAGGAAAAAATGAGAGAAATGAAAAACCCGTATGAGTCAAGGTTCTTGGTTTCTGCCAGTTGGCAACTTCTCAGGGACCAACATGGAAGCTGTACTACATACCAAAGGGAATATAGAATATAGTGAGACCTTCCCTTTGTTACTGTCTCAGTTACTTTTCTCTCGCTGCTGGTACAAAATACCTGAGTCTCAAAATTAAGGAAGGAAAAGTTTATTTAGCTCACAGTTTATGGAGGTTTCAGTCTATGACCAGCTGGCTCCAAGCACAGTGGGACATGGCAGAGGGCAGCAGTTTATGGTGTCAGAAAACAAAACAAAAGCAAAAAGGGAGGAACCAGTGGCAGCAGCAGCAGAAGAGGCAAGCCTCTCTCCCTTCATTATGGTGTATTGAGGGTGTCTGCCCCAGGGTGGGTGTAGCACTCACACCCGTTATCCCAGCACTGGATTATGAAGTAATCACGTCCTCTAGAAGACTGCCCCCATTACTATATGAGGCTTTGGGGGGTGGGGACAAACAGACACAAGCCATAACAGGTACCTTACAATGATAAAATCTATTAATGGAACCCTTAGTTCATGTCAATCACTAAGCTACTTACTATAGTTTACTATTTTACTATGTTATAATCATTTTTAGGTTACTTGCACAGGACTTCTTTTATTTTCCTTTCAAAGATGAGGAAATTGAGACTTGGAAAGGTTAAGTCATTTAGGATTATACAGTGACAGACCTGGAGTTTAACCAGATCTTTCTGGCTCTAAAACCTATGTTCCTAGCCACTGTCCATAGTGTTCTTTTCCATTTCTCCTTATTCAAGAATGGGCAGGATGAGCCAGATGTGGCAGCATACACTGTTAACTACAGCACTTGGGCAGGAGGATTGCTGCCCTTCCTTAGCTAGCCTGGGCTACATAGTGAGTTCAATGCTTGCTTGAAGTGCATAGTAAGATCCTCTCTCAAAAAATAAATAAAATTAAATAAATAAAAGGAAAGTCCATTACAAGCTAAGTTGTGTGGATATCCCTTACAAAAAACAGTTTGGGAGCTCTAGATTGTGCTGGATTTCCTATCATAAGGCCTCAAGAACTTAAGAACTAATATTTCTGGTAGTTCACATAACTAACCTCTAACTGCAGCTGAGAACAAGGAGCATATCTCAGCATAAAGTACAGGACTTGGAGGTATCTTGCTTATTTTTGGAAAGGTGAGATGAAAAAGCAGGTTATATCACCTGCTTATATCACAAGACACAATCTACTCTTCTAGTTGCATAGTCCATGAAAAAGCACAGAAGTGCCAGGGGATAGTCCACAGAGGAGTTTCTTTTCCTGGTTTCTCAACCAAAAAACAAAGCCCTAAACCATCATTATAATGAAGTGATTGTTGTGAAATTATTGAATTAGGCATTAGAATTAGATATCCATTAGTTCACTCATTCAACTTTCATTTGTTGATTCTGTGCTATGTTCAAGCATCGTGACCAATGTCAGGTATTCAAGCAGAGCAACCAAGTTGCAGAAGGGGGAACAGGGACAAGAATATATATATATATATATAT